TTTAATAATAAAATATTTTAGTTGATTTTGAAGTATTAAATATTAGGAAAATAATCTAATTACTATTTTGTCCAATACAGTTCTATTTTTAAGGGGCAAAAAAGGCTAACGACATTTTGCTAAGGGCCTTCGTGCTTTTAATATAGTACTCGTCTTATGATACGCGCTTTGCGCGTGTACCTAAGTCAGTGAATATAGGATCTTTCAGAAAATTATGTTTTACTAGTCTTATTGTACACGCGTTGCGCGTGTGCTTTTATTTAATGTATATAAACTTTTTTAAAATAACATAATGATTATTAAATAATATTTTGAGTTATAAAAGAAATTAGTAGAAAAAATCAAGTCCATGAACATGGTAATATTATTTAACTAACTCAACAAAAAAAAAAAGAATTTACCTAAAAATTTCCCAAATTCTTTACTATATTATTTACATATTACTGAATTTCACTAAAATTGCATGAATGCCACCTTTTTGATTAATTTATTTAAAATTGTCAACAGTTTTCCTGTTAAAATATTGTATCAACAAATGTTAGAAATATTAACTTCACCAATTTATAGCAAAATGAAAAAATTACCAAAATCTTTTTGAGTTCCTCTCCAGTGTATTGTAATCATCTAGGCTCCAGTGATGATCATATTTATTTAAAGCTATTACCAATTTTTCTATTAAAAATATGATATCATTAAATGTTATAAATCTGAAATAATATTTTATATGCACACACATATCTATATATTAAATCTAAATTCTTTTTATTAATTATATTTTTAAATTATTATAATATAATGTTATATTTAGTTCTTTTTTTGGTAACTACTTATACTGTTAACCTCTGTTTGCTTCATATCTATTCCCTAATTAAGAATTCAATAATCGCCTGAATTTCGTCTTTCGAAGTTGATAGGAAGAAGTATCACAATTGTAATGTGGAACTGAATTCAATTGGGATTTAATTGTCTTATTCTTCTTGTAGTTGACGTCAAATAAATTTCTAGATATTTAATTGATTTTAGTCCTAAATGTTAGGATTTCCTAGGATGTTCAAATAGGAAAATGTTTAATAACTAAAATTTTAGTTAATTTTAACGTCTTGTATATTAGGAAAGTAATTAAATGACTATTGCTAAAATAGTAGGAAAATAATTAAGTCTATTTCTAAATATTATAAAAATAATTAAATGACTATTATATCCGGAGTGAACTCTATTTTTGAAGGATAAAAAAGGCGAACGACATTTTGCTAAGGGCCTTCGTGCTTTTAATATAATATAGATATAGATTATTAAATATAGTATGCTTGTATTATAAAATAAAAATTATTTTATACTCCTTAAAATATAGTATATAGTTTTAGTTGAAAAGGCTTATCCATACAAATTTCCATGTTAATTTAGATCGGAAGAG